TAAGAGGGGGCACCAAGGCACACCAGAAAGGGAGTGGTGAACTCAGGGATTCTTCCTAACTTCCAAGTTTATGGACAAGTTTCAACGAACTCATGAGATCATTAATCTAGGTCCAGGTATAGCATCTCTAAGGGAATATTCTCTGTTTACTACTAAAGTACTTTATGACCTAAAATGAAAGGTATCACAAATCACAGTATGTTTTTATAGAAAAAATTCAGGGCTAGATATAAAGTAAATCTACAAGCACAGAGGCTAAATAAATATTGTCACGAGAATAGGACCACAACCAACAGAAAGATGTTCTCAAGGTTAAGGCAGTAATGTTTTAGAAGTCTGTATAAACAGTAACTAAATGAGATGGACATAGCCGTGGTTACAAGGCTATCCCTTCCCTGTCCACCGAAGGGGACATTCAGCTCAGCATGCATTTCCTCTGCAACATTTCAAGCTCAAGAGACACAGGGAGAATGGGACAAACTCTGCCTTTCCTACTACCTAGGAACTAATGGTTCACTTCCCATTTCAATTAATAGGATCAATATGGCTTAGTCACAGATTTGTAACGCCCTATAGAGAAAAAATACTTTTATCCCCATTTATCGATGGAAACACACTAAGGTAGAGAAGAACTGGTTCAAGTGTTCATTGACACACAGGCAGTAAGTAACAAAAACCAGGCTGAACTAGCAGCAGCCTGGCTTCAGCGTTCATGACCTGACCATTGGAGAACACTGCCTTTCCTGTGATGCCTGGGGCTTCTTTTTGCCTGCCTTCAAAGGCTACTCGTACTTATCCAATTCTAGTTCAACTGATGTTTACGATCGATTGTAATTTAGGTACTCATACTAGCTGATTTCACAGTGACTTTCATTCAATCTCAACAGCTTTGTCAAGCAGATATCATCTTGGTTGTAGAGATGAGTGAATCGATAGGTAGACGTGAAATCACCTGCCTGCATTCACACAATTACTGAGAAGTAGCTTTGGGATTAAAACCCCAGATCTTAGAGGCTGGAGAGATGGCTCAGAGGCAAGAGCACTTGCTCTTGCAAAAGACACAGTTTGAGTTCCCAGCACCCATATGGCAGCTCACAACCATGTGTAGCGGCAGTCCCAGGGGGTCTGACATCAGTAGACACCAGGCATGCATGTGGTACACATACCTACACGTAGGCAAGACACACACACACATACCAATTAAATAAATACACCTAAAATGTTTTAAGCCCATATCTTCTGTAAGTCACGTGCTTTCAATAGCCTTGTAAACTATATTTCTCTGTAAACTGTCAGCTGGTGACTATTGATAGACTTAAATGTTGTGTTAACATGAGTTTCAAATTTCATCATTCCCCATAGATCCCTCTATCTGTTAGCAGTCACTGCCCATCCCATTCTCCCCCAGTTTTTGGCAGATAGTCTAATCTGTGTTCCTATGGATTCCTCTACCCTCAGTATTTTCACATAAATGGGAACAGCATGCAGCCTTTCCTGTGGTGTCTTCTTTCACATGACATAATGTTTCCAGGGCCCACTGTGTGATAGCATATTCCTCTCTACAGCTGGATACTATTAAATATCACAGTCTTTTACTTTTATCTCTTCATAAATTGACAGACATGTGGATTGTTCCACTTGGGAGCTATTAGGAAATACTCTTCTATGAAAACTCAGACACAAGTTTTTGTCTGAACATGTTTTCCCTTTAGACGTAGGAGTGGAACTGATGGGTGAGAATTCCATGTTGGACTTTCTTAGGAGTGACCAAACTCCCCCCCCCCACTCCTTCCCGAAACCCTACACCATTTTTACATTTCACACAGTGAACAGTGAGTTCCAATCATAAGCCAAATAAACCTTCTTCTCCCCAAGCTGCTTTGGGCATAGTGTTTTATCACAGCAATAGAAACCCTAATTAGGACACTGACCATCCTTTCACAGGCCTATGACCATTAGTATGTGCTAAGAAATGTCTATTCAAGTCATCTCCCCACTTTTTAAAGTAAGTTTTTTTTTTTTTTGTGTGTGTATCTTGGAATCTAAGATTATTATGTATCTTGGAACCCAAACCCATGTGAGATTGATAATTTGGAATACTTTTCTTCCATTCTGTGGATTGTATTCATTGTCCTAAATGTTCTAAATTTAGATGTCATCCATTTCTTTTATTTGATTTCCTGTGCTTTTGGTTTCATACCCAAGAAGTCTTGTCCATTTAAAGGTCAGAAAATGTGACGTATAAAGATCATCTTTAAACTTCTTCTCTCATGAGACGCATTTTGCAGCTTAAAGTGAGTCAGACCCTCCATTTAATGCTGGAAAGATGGGCTTGTTTTTGACTAGAAGATAGAATATGGTATTAAAGAATTCATAAATTATCTCCCAAATTAATAATTTATATGCCGTGTTTATTATAGGTCATTAAATACATCCTGCCTATTATCTTAATAACTATAATTGTTATGAGATTTAAAAGTCAATGTTCTGAATAAACTAACAGAAAATACTAAAAGTTTGGAATTCACGCTTACGAGAAAAACATTCAAAGACATTGCCATGTGCGTAGCTTAGCTGAGATGGCTTCCCTATGCCTGTTCAGCTAACAAAATAAAGAATAGCACTTCTACCCACAGATGGAAGAGCAAAGTCTTACAAAACTTTTACAAGCGTATTATTTATGTTAATGTACACTAAAGAGTGTTTATCTATTGTTAGACCCTGATACATGAGTTGCCTCATCACAGAACAAGTAATAGGGACTTTTATGGCTATGTGCCTATAAAGCCCACTCTAACTCCATTAGATTCCACTGGGCAACCTCAAGGGAGAATTCTAAGTGTGTAGTCATGACTGTGTACCTAATGCAACTCTAAGTGTACATTCAGGATTGTATATATAATGCAACTCACCTACACCGGGCATGGTTTGACTCAAGTCATTCAAGATTCACAGAGTTGATGCCATTTCAAGCAGATTGACACACAAGCATCCTGGAGAAGGGGAACTAGTCTAAGGGGTAGTATACCCAGCATCTGGCCTCAAGCAATGTGTCCTTACTGTGGCACAGTGTACATGAGTCTTCAGGAACTAGGGAACCCATTTGTGGCTACTAGCTCCACAATAGTCACGGAAGTTGTGAATGAGGGTTGAGCCTAACCAATGATGGTTATTATGAGTGATGACTTAGAATATAGCAACAGAAAGACAGAAACAGAATTTTCAGAAGTGATTTAAATGGATATTGATTATCAAAAAGTTAAAAATTAAAACACTAGAGGATAATTTTCCTCTAGTGAGATGCTGGCCCAAGAGTGATGCCATTTATATGCCATTGGCAGGAGTGGACATTAGTGTCATTTTTTGGCAACAGTCAAAGGTGTTAAATGTATATTTTCTTTGATTTAGAGCTTCTGTGTCCAGGGTATTATTGCATATATGCATGGTTACAATATTAGAAATAGAGCTGGAGAGAACTATCTTCAATTACACTTTACAAGCTGAATAAATTGAAACCTAGTAAGATTCCCTCTTTTAAAAACAATACGCATGCATTACAAATGCACAGTGATTGCTTCTGAGGCACAGAAATGAGGACAGAGAAACACAATTCACTTCTCGATGTATTACTGCAACACCTAGTATTTTTTAAATCATCTGTATTACCCTATAATTCTTAAAAAGTAAATTTATGGGCATTCTAGTCCAGTCCTGAACTGGACACGAACCAGCAAAGTGCTTCAGCTGTGCATTAACACAATGTTGAACATACTTTTTTGTAAAGTAGCCACGGGGTAGCAGACTTCTTTCCCTGAGGGGAAAGCCACTTTCAGCACAACCCAAACTCATGAATTCAGGCACATTTCACAATAAGAAGTCAAGCAATACTAGATATGAGATTATTCTTAACAGAATGTGGTTTGTAGTTGTGATCCACTAATGACAGATTTTAAACAATGACACAAGTTTAAGTGCTTAGACCAAATGCATATGAAAGGAGGGGCCTTGTTTTGTGGACATGTAAGGTCTTGAGGACCAACAGTCTCTTTCCACAAGTCCCTGAGCAATGAAGCCACTATTTACCAACTTACATGATGTTTCCATCTAAGCAGAATCTTGTTCATTCAACTTCCTGGGGGTGGGACTCACATTTGGGGACCATAAACAAAAACAATAAGTTACATTGAGAATAGCTCCTTTGTCCCTGACATTGCTATGCCCTTCCATGGACAGAAAGACACTATTTAAAACTCAGTAAGTCAAGACTGGATTCTCCCATTTCATTGTTGTCACACACTCCATTTCCTCCTCTCCAAAGACTCTAATAACATGGTGGCCAGTGTTCCTCTCAGGCTCACACAGCCTGCAGTGTGACTGCATGGGGCCAAGAGCATTCACAGCCCCGATGTCCAATGTCCTCACAGAGGCAAAGCACTCCTATATAATTCTGATGTGGTGCTATTCTGAAAGTGGGAGACATTAAAAGATGAGCCCCAATTCTTCCTCCTCCTCCTCTTGTCCCTCTTCCTCCTCTTTTTTTTTTAAGACAAAGTTTCACTGGTAGTTCTGACTGGCCTGGGACTAGCTATGTAGACCAGATTGGCCTCAAACCGACAGAGATCCATCTGCTTCTTCCTCCCAAATGCTACCCTACCCAGCTTGTTTTTATTAATTAATTTATTTTTCTAGTTATGGTTTAGCAGAACTCTAGCTTGTTTTTAAGGACATTATAAATGTCAGTATTATATTAAACTTTATTATACATGACAACCATTACTGGTCATGTCTGTTACAAAGTGAGGGCCCTGTAATTCTTCTACCCTGGCAGTCATACATGTTTTATTAAAATGATAATGTTAAAAGTCCAAAAATATTATGAAACAGTGCTGTCTGACTTCTAAGTGATAACATCATGGAACTAACTGTGGACATTCTTTTATATCATCTGCAATAATCAAACGAATCACTTCCTAAATTTATTAAAGACACAAACAGGTACGTATTTTGCAGACATGAAAACTGTTTTATTTTAAACCACAAATAGCAGGTGGCCACAACTATCCATATTTCATTAAAATCACATAAAACCTAGGCACAAAAGCACCACTGATTATTGCTCTAGAAAAATTGCATGAAAAATTCAAATATGCACAGTAAAAACACCACAGTATGCACAGGACTAAACTTTTAAAGCAAGGGCATGGAATGCTGAATCCATTTTACACGCAGCTTCCGATATTAAATTGGTATTTATTTTACTTAAGGATGATGGAAATTTCCAAAAAACATCACCATAAGAGGATAAAATGTCCATCTTTATATATATTTTATGCCAACTAATAAGAGTCCTAAAAAATTAGCATTTACAAAATACGTGGTAAAAATAGCTTTTAAAAGTTGTCCCAAGAGGTACGTGAAATCAACCCCAGTTTTCCACGACAATTCATTCTCCCTCATTATCTATAGACTCAGTTCTCTGTGCCTGTGAATAAAAAAGAAAGAAAGAAAACAAAATATAGTTACCACCAAAACAAGTCAACCAAAGGAAAGCCCACCCACCAGGAAACACACTTTTGAGCATTTGGCCTCTTGTTTTCCTTCCAGGTCTACTCCAAAACACACTTCAACTCTGGGTGGAAAACAAACAAGGCAGGAATGCATCATGCCAACATGTTGCGGCGCTTATTGCTTTCTGCTATAAAACAACCACAGAAGCCTTACCTGCGGGCTCCAGTGTACATAATAATAATAGTAATAATAATAATAAAAAAAAAACCAACCAGCAAGCTACTACCTGATTCTAGTCACTGCAAACATGCAGAGTGTCTACTGTACCCTTAACTCTCACTGTTTCAATCTGCCCCTTTACTGACAGTGTGCTGGGTGGGGGGCTTCTGCAGGCTGAGACATTAACAGTTGAACGAGAGATGTGGATCTGCAATAACATTACAGGCGATAAAGAGAGACATTATGAACGTGCTATCCAGAGCTGAAGGGTCCAGCAATTTCTTTGACGACACTGATTTGGTCAGTGGGAGGTGGTGGTGGCAAGTACCTCTTCAGCTTTAGTGTCACCATTTGCAGATGGGGCAGTACCTTCCTTTCCAGCTTCCTGCTTCTCTTCCTTCTTCCCTTTAGCACCTCTGCTAATCTTTGTTCCAGGTTTTGTGAAATCTCCCCCCCCCCCACCTGCTGGAACCCAACCAGACACAGTGACAGCTGCCATTGTGGCCTTAGGCGAAAGTGGGGACGCAGCAACTTTGCCCTTTTACCTGAACTACACTGTACTGCCATAAAACTGTAATAGGCTGCTTGCTGAGCCCACCACCAGCACATCTGTTCTGTGGGAAAATGGTGAGTGGCCCAGTGGCTTTGCTGTGGAGAGGGCAGCCACAGAACCTGGTGAAAGGGGAAAACCCTGGGGAAAAACCCACCCACTGGGGGCTGCTGTTCCTGCTGCTCCCCAACGTGACAAGTCGTGGGGAGCCACACATCTCACACAACCAGGAAGGTGCTGAAGATAAAGGCCCAGAGGAAGAAATGCTGCTAATTTTCTGACTGAGTCGCAGTGCTGAGCCCTGCTTTGGAAATCCATATTCACTACCACACACAATTTCAGTCAGTGTGCGTGCTTTGAGGCCACAGCACGGGAGAGTCACTGTGGCTGAGTTCATAGGCATTAATGCATGTCACTTTTCCTCATCTGCCAAACATGGTATTCATATCTATTTCAATAGAGCAGACGTTGCTGAGGGTGACTAAGTAAAGCGCCCAGAACGGGTCTCACACAGTGTCAGGCTAGTGTACACTACTTTCTACAGGAAATGATCATATTTTTATTGCTGGTCATGGGAATGACCATTTACTAGTAGTTGCATGAGGCTGTGAGCCTCTCTCTGACCTCTGCTGCTGGTGGCAGCGGTGGAGTCCAGGGCCAGGTCGAACCCCACCAGACCACCACGTGACTGAGTGCATTTTCTGAGCCAGCTGGCAGACCCCTCCTCACACAAGGCTTCCCAGAGCAACTTGCTGTGTGCTTTTTGCACCTCACTGACCAAATGGAAAACATATTCCTGCTAACTCACAAAACGTTGCTGCATGTCTTTAAAAAAAGCCCATGTGCTGGGGACAACTTTCCGGTCTGTACATTTTTGCCTGCCTCATTAAACAGGATCTCTCTTCGGATGATTTCTAGGCATGGAATTATAATGAGTAAAATATTCATTGTTTAGAAAGCCAAGGGAGGGGAGAGGGGAATGCCTCTTACCTTAGCAGATGTTTTTCTTGGTTTAGGCTCGGGTTTTGGCGGAACAGGTTTCTGCAGAAGTAATTTAAATCATACAAATACTGAAACTGTCACCATTATCAACAAAAAAAAAGAAGGCAAACGGGTTGAAAAGATAACCACTGGTTCTGACTGTGGCTCTATGCATTTTGACTTGGTCCTTTCTTTCAGTATCGGGCACTATCTCCAACCTGGGTTTGCAAGTGATGGGCAGATAAGGAGACTAACTCATTAAGCTCTGGTCCAGTAGGGCTCTCTGGGGCAGAGTTAAGTTTCTCTTTCTGATATCTCTGTACTTCCTCTTTTTTCACAACACCACAGTAAGAGGAGAGACTCTTGGCTAAATGGCTGGATGAATTCACTCTTAGCGGCCTTCCCAACAGGCTAGAAATTCCAGCACACCACAGGCAAAGTGCCTTGTCCATAGGTCACCAAGGCTGAGGCCTGTGACATTCTACAAAGCCTCATCCAACTCTTTCCCCCGACACAGATTTCAGGTACTGTAGCCAGGCCACTTCCTATTTGATCCTCTCCAATGTCAGCTTAAGGGACGACGCTAACACCAAGCCACTGTGTCCCTCTGTTTCTAAAGCTTTTTATTAAGCAGACAACTATGGCAACCCATCTGGCTATCAAAAGTTAAGATTTTTTTCCTGTGGGTATTGTAGGTCAAATATTTCTCTAATTAAGGTTTAAAATGTGTACATCTCTCGGAGCACTGAAAGAATGTTTTAAAAATAGAAAACACTGTCCAGGGTGTCCCCTGTGAAGAAAATGTGAGCTTCCCTCCAGCATCTGCAAAAGATCTGGAGTTCACACTGAATATAGCCTTTATGTGTAAAATTTAATTAGAGAGATTTCAGTTCCAAAAGACCAGCTGTTAGGAGAAAAAGAAAGATAGACATGGTGACCAATTCTGGGAACCTCAGCACTTAGGACACTGAGGCAGGAGATGGCTGCCAGCTTGAGGCCAGTCTCTGCTACAGAGTGAGACACAGGCTCAAAAATCCAAAAAGGAGGGCCAGTGAGATGGCTCAGTGGATGAAGGAGCTTGCTGCCAAACCTGGTAACCCATGGAGCACACAGGGTGCAAAGAGAGAACTGACTTTTGCAAGTTGACCTGACTCCCCAACACACAAGTAAACAAATGTAATAATAATAATTTTTTTAAAAAAGAGAAGAAGAAAATGACTTTTAGAATCAAATTTTTTTAAAAAAAGAGTGGAGCTTGAAAAGTAAGAGTATTTATTTGTGTTGTTATCCCTCTGAACTTTCAGTCTGCTTCCCAAACAGCTTTCAGGGCTCCTAAGTCTTACCCTGAAAATTTGTTATTGCAAGTTTTGACAGATTAGTATATATGTCGTCTTGATTTTTTAGCCAACTGTTTCTACTTTTCTTTCTGTGAGATAGACCTTTCATCTTGCTTCAGCATTCAGTGTTTTGACAGCACCAAGAAATGTGTGTGTGTGTGTGTGTGTGT